TTAAACAAGTGACTTCATTTCTACCTTTTCTCATTTCCTCCTCGATCAAATAGGGATAATCAGATGCGATAAAGTGCTCAGAGAGATAATTACGATGTTAAATCCAGCCATTATTATTCCAGGCTGGCGTTGTTTAATAAAAATGCTTGCGTATCCTCCAAACCCTCAGCTGATGACAATACAGAGACATCAGCAAAGGAGACCGCGGAATGGCATGAGGACCCTTTCCCTCACAAGGAACCCTGAGCCCTGCGCTGGAAGAGGCCATACTGCATGCTATGCCTCTTGGGGATAGTGTCTCAGGCAGCTCAGACACAGCCAGCAGGTGCTGTAGCCCACACAACACAGAAGACCAAGGCTTGGGGAAGAGACACCACTGGGGGCTCTGTGACCCGCCCCTTCCCTGCCCCCCTGCCAGCCCTGGTCTTCCCCAGCCAAGGAAAGGGCAAACTCCCAGGTTAGGCTACCCAGGGGTCTCAGTCCTTGTCTGGAGAATGCCAGGGTAGGGGTTGGAGGTGACAGGAAGAGGGGGCAAGTGACCTGCTTGCTCCTCCCGGCAGGTAACCCTCCTGGCCTCTGGGTGCAAGTTCCAGAAGAGGTATTCAGGCCTGGTTTATGATGCAATGGGTAAGGGTTGGTGCCTGGAGAAGAAGACAAAGTGCTGAAGACCACTGGCTCGGTGGGACACACAGGGTGGTTAGAAAAGCCCCAGGAGCAGGCATCTCGGGCATGCTCTGGTTAGATGGCAGATGTGTGGCTTTCAAGGTCCAGCTGGCTCTAAAACAGGCCTCCTTGGCACTGGCCAGCCAGAGACACAAGATACCAGACACACAGAGCCAGCAGGATGTTTCTGCATGCAGGAAGTGGCCTCACGCGATGATGCAGGCTGCAAGTCCCAAGAGTCCTTTCCTGTTGTGGGGAGGAGGCATGGAGAAACCATTTCTCCCAGGGGCCATCTATCCCCCTTTCCCCACCCCCGCCAGAGCTCCCGGGGGCGTGGCTGTGGGCGGGGCAGACCCGTTGCACCCCATCCCTAGGTGTGGCTGCCGCCCCAGGCCTCCCTAACCGCAGCAAGGACTTCATCCAGGGTCTCCCTGACCTGTCCATGAGGCACCTTCTCTAGCCCACTGCAGCCACACAGGCAAACCCCGTGCTGAAGTTACCTGCTGGACACTGTTCTTGCACAGATGTGTCCCCACATTCCCCTCTTCCAGATCGCCTGAGTCCATCTCCTTTTCAGCTCACCTCCTGACCAGCCACCCACCATGAGCAGAGAGGACCCCCTCTGCCACCTGACCCCTAAGTTCAGCCCTCAGCGAGTTGCATGTCAGAAAGATGAACATGCCCCTGAGGTCTCTGGAAGATAGCTCAATCATTTATTCTCAAAGACCAAAGAGACAAGCTCTTCCCCCTTAAGAAGCCTGGAGTCCATGTCTCTATTAGATGCCTCCTTTAGTCTAGAGGGAGCTGCTAATCAGGAACCCTACTGCCTACGCCTACATAAAAGCTTATTTCAGTGACTTTCCCTCTTCCAGCCTCAGTCTCACCCCCTCTGTACAATGGGTTTAAAAACATCCATCTCAGGCACTGCTGTCAGAATTTGTAGTTGGAATGCATGAAGTGACCAGGCCTGAGTAGCGCCTAGAAGGTTCCTGAGAACTAGTGTCTGTTTCAGGGTTAGTGGAAAAGGGGTACTCAGCCGAGCCTGGTACACAGCAGAATTTCCACTTGGGGGGGGGTCAAGGTGGGACCTGGGGTGAACCATAAGCATCTGATAGTGCCCAGGGATTATGAAGGGTGGACTCGTTTATCCACTTTTATCCAAAAAAAATTTTTTTTCTCATTTTTATTTGAAAGGCAGAGTTACAGAGAGAAGGAGAGACCGAGAGAAAAAGATCTTCTATCTGGGCCCAAATGGCCAACACAGCTAGAACCAAGTTGATCTTTAGTCTGGAGCTTCCTCTAGGTCTCCCACATGGGTGCAGGGACCAAAGGACTTGGACCATCCTCTGCTGCTTTCCCAGCCCATAAACAGGGAATTGGATCGGAAGTGGAACAGTTGGGACACAAACTGGTGTCCACATGGGATGCTGGCGTCACAGGCAGAGAAGGCTTAGCTTACCATGGCTCAGTGCTGGCCCCCAAGAAGGTGGACTCTTTAGCCAAACCACCTGGGCCCAAATTCTAGCTTCACCACTTGCTCAGTTTTGAGTTTAGCTGGCATCTGAACTCAGTTTCTTCATCTGTAAATTGAGTATGATAACAGTATCCTCACCATAAAATTTCTGTGAGTCTCAGTGAATTAATGCATGAGATTACTCAGAACTTCACGGGTGCCTAATAACCAGATCCAGCTGAAATTGTTTTTTCCTTTGATATTTAAGATTTATTTATTTTTATTGGGAAGGTAGATTGGATTTATGGAACGGAGAGACAGAAAGATCATCCATTCACTGGTTCACTCCCCAAATGGCCACAATGGCTGGAGCTGAGCTGATCTGAGCCAGGAGCCAGGAGCTTCTTCTAGGTCTCCCATGCAAGTGTGGGGTTCCAAGGCTTTGGACCACCCTCTACTACATTCCCAGGCCACAAGCAGGAAGCTGGAAGGGAAGGGAAGCTGCTGGGATGCAACCTGGCACCCATGTGGGATCCCAGTGCTTGCAAGATGGGGATTTAGCTGTTGAGCTATTGCACCAGGCCCTGGAATTGTTACTACAGACAAGCTTGGTGGATGAAAGCAAACACTGCTGACCCTGTGCCCAGGATGGAGATCTCACATTGGGTCTCCTACCATAGCAGCCAAGTTGTATGGGAGGCCTCCTGGCAAGAGTTAAGAACCAGAGCAGGCCCTTACATGCAATGGATTAATTCACTGCTATTTGTTCTTTTTTTTTTTTTTTTTTTTTTCATTTCATTTGAAAAGCAGTGTGACAGAGAGACAAGCTCACAGCAGCTGGAGCCGGGTCAGGTTAAAGCCGGAAGCTAGATCTCAATTTGGGTGTCCCATGTGAGTGGCAGGGAGTTAAGTACTGGAACCTTTACCTGTTGCCTCCCTGGGCGTGCAGTAACAGCAAGGTGGATGAGAACAGAGTTCCTGGATTGCTCTCTGGCATGGGATGCAGGCATCTCCAACGACATGCTTGCTGCTCTGCCGATGTCCACTCCACCCCCACTGAGCTCACATTAGGCTGGCCCAGGCATTGCTGCTATCAGAGTAAACACGAGCCACCTGCTTTGTGTCTGCCCAGAACCCTTGTCTGCCTGGCAGCTGTTGTAATGCAGGCAAAGGTTGAGACAGGACTGAGATCCTGGGCACACAGGCGTCTCCTTCCCTGAGCTCCCCACTCTGAGCTTCCATGCTCCATTGTGGACATTGCCCAACCACAAGAGAGGCTCCTGGGCTGGAGCTGTCACTTCAACCTCTGTGTGGCCTCAGGAGGCTGGCCATGCCTCTCTGAACACCTGTTTCCTCCTCCATAAAATGAGGCTAATGATGCCCACACAGTTGAGAGTGGATTGAGTATCACCCATAAACCAAGGGCCTCTAGGTCACAGTGGGCTGGGTTGTTAATGACTCAAAGTCATCCCAGGGACCAGCGCAGCTGTGTAGTGTACTAACCCTCCACCTGCAACACCAGCGTTCCGTATGGGCACCAGTGCACATTCCCAGCTATTCTACCTCCCATCCCACTCCCTGCTTATGGCTTGGGGAAGCAACAGAGGATGGCTCAGATCATGGAAGATCTAGAAGTTCCTGGCTCCTGACTCTGGATCAGCCAATCACTAGCCATGGCAGCCATTTTGGGAGTGAACAAGCAGATGGAAGATAGACAGCAGGGGCAGGGGTGAGGCCCGTGTCTCCAAGGAGCTAACATTTTAATGGGGGGCAGGGAGTGGGGAAAGAGGAGAGGTCAGTAGCCAGCAGCAACAGCAGCAAGCAGCAAGTTAATGGGAAGGTATGAGGCAGGGATCATGGTGGCAGGAACACAGCAGGGCAACTTGAGGGGGCGCAGGCAACCACAGTGGGCTTGGGTCAGCAAGAGCACCTCGGCTGATGGGGCCATTGATCGACTCGGTGGCAAGGAGGAGGAAGCCCTGTGAAGATCTGAGGTCAGGACTGTGGACAGAAGACGAGAGGGAGGGCTTTTCTGGCAGAAGGAGCAGCATATGCAAAGGCCCTGGGGGTGAGCAGAGCCTGATGCACTCCTTAGGGGAACTACAAGTAGTTGAGGGTGATTGGAGTGCAAAGCAAAAGTATTAGGGTGCAAGGATTGGATTGAAGGTATCCCTGATGTCTAGGAAGAAGAGGTGGGTCTCAGCACAAAGCTGCTAAGCTGACAAGGGCATTTTGGGGTGTGCAGGAAGCTCAGAGACAGAGCTGGAGGCAGGGAGGCCAGCAGGGAGAGGGCAGGAAAGTGGAGTTCTGGCCAGGGTGGTAGCAGTGCTGGGGTGGAGAAGACCCACTCCAAAGATGCTACAAAGCAGCAAGGGCTGGCCTGGGGTGAGCCTGGAGAGCAGAGGACAAGTGACAGGAACCTCAGAGAGGCCAAGACAGGATGCAACCAAAGGTCTCCTGACCTAGAGGGTGCTGACATGAAATTGAAAGTTCCACTAAGTCCTGCTTGTCCACTTCCTGGGCATATGCAGCCACTTCCCCTTCTCTGAGCTTCAACTTTGCCAGCTGTCAATGAACCTAGCACAGCCTATCCCAAGGAGCTGTCGCTTGGACTAACTGTAGGCACACAGGAAAGCCCCTATCAGCAAGGCAGGCACTTAGCACTTATCACCTCCCTTCCTCAATCCATGGCCTTGGATGACCACGTCACCTTTCTGGGCCTCTATTTTCTCAACTGTAGAATGGGAATGAGAACCGCTTGCCTGGGGGTCCCAATGGCAGGTGTCAGAGGCATGAGTGTGCAAGCTCAGGACACGTCCCAGAGTAGCGCTCACCAACTTCATCATCTCCCTTGTCTCTCCCCTGCAGGCAGAGCTGAGACAACATGGCGTGGCCGTGGCTGGTGCTGGTTGCCTGCCTCCTCGCGCTCCCTTCAGCCACAGCAGACTGCCTGTCTCAGTGCTCCTTATGTGCTGTGAAGACCCAGAATGGGCCCAAACCCATCAATCCACTGGTAGGTTTCAAGGCAAGGTTTCTGGATGCCCAAATGTGTCTCTGGGGAGCTCAGAAGCAGAGGCCATGGGCCTGGGTGCCTTGCCTGGCCTGGAGGCCTTGAAGGGCTTGTTCTGCCCAGCGGACATCCCCAGGCATGGGGCTGTCACTGTCCAGCTCCCATCACCTCCAGACCTCACCCAGGCCAGGAGGGCAGTTTGCAGGGAGCCGGGTGCCTGACAATAGGGAGCACCGGTTATGAACTGCTGGCTTCTGCACACAGCAGTCCTAGATGTACCTCCAACCTCTCAGCACTGGGCTGATGGATGGACTCGAGATCCAGCCTCTGCTACGGAAGGGGCTGGATCCACCAACCCTAACTTCCAGGATTGGGCTGGCAGGGTCAAAGCCAGGTCTCTCGCATCGCTCAGTTCAGTTCTGAGCCAAGATGCTGCATTCATCTCTCCAGTGACGCCAGGATAGAAGTGTCAAGGGTGAGGTGATTCTGGACAGAGGACTCCAGAGTGGGAGTATGTATGAGTTGGATGGTTTAATGGGGGTGATGCTACCGCTGTGGTCTTTGGGGTCTTTTGCAGATCTGCTCCCTGGAGTGCCAGGCTGGCCTGCTGCCCTCTGAAGAATGGAAAAGATGCCAGGGGTTTCTCAACCCCTCCACTCTCAGGCTCAATGGCAATGAAGATGTGGAGAGCAAAGTAGCTTTGGAAGAGCCCTACAGTGAGCTGGCCAAGCTCACGGGGCCCTTGCTGCAGGAGCTGGAGACAAGTCAGTACCTCTCTGACACCCCAACCAAGGAAAATGCTCTGAGCAAGAGCCTGGAGGAGAGGCTTCAGCGTCTCTCAGGAGGGATTGGGGAGGGGGCAGAATCTGAGCTGATGGTGGATGAGCAGCCACACGATGGCGCTGTGGAGGCAGATGGCCTTGATTTCCAAGAGGAGGACCCCAAGGTGCAGGTCAAACGCTATGGTGGCTTTTTGCGTAAATACCCCAAGAGGAGCTCTGAGGCGGCTGGGGAGGGCGACGGGGAGGGGGAGAGGGTGGGCCATGAGGACCTGTACAAACGCTACGGGGGCTTCCTGAGGCGCATCCGTCCCAAGCTCAAATGGGACAACCAGAAGCGCTATGGAGGTTTCCTGCGGCGCCAGTTCAAGGTGGTGACCCGGTCCCAGGAAGATCCAGATGCCTACTCGGCAGAACTGTTTGACGCATAAGCACCTTCCCCACACAGAGTTGAGTCGGAACTTCCCCTGACACCATCACAGATTGGAGTGCCCTCATCCATCCTCTATGTACACACCATCCCCACGCTGTGTGAGCATTGCCTACAACATATCCCAGCCCAACCTCCCTCCCTTCCACCTGGTGGAGGGTGGGGGAATGCCGTATTCATCCGGGGTCAGCAATGGGAAGGGTAGAGGTTATCTCTTTCCCAACAGGGGTAGTGCTTAGCTCATATCCCTCACATTTTAGAACTGCCACCCTCAGCAGCCGTGGAACTCAGTCCCCCCTCCCCCCACCCCCCACCCCCCGTCGCCAGGGACCCAGAGTGGCCTGTTCCTGCCATCTATAGATCTCTGATCTTTAAATCTGGCTAATCACCTGCCACTCAAAGAACAAACAAAAGCATATAGTAGACACGTGTATCATAAACCTCCCGACAAGGAGAAATAAAACAAGACAAGTGTGAGTAGAAATCCTAGCATTGTCTTCCCAACTCTCCAAGGCCCTCCACGTGCATCCACTTTGGAAATCTTGCTTCTACGTGAAAAACTGCAGGGCTTCCTTTTGTGGGAGCAGCATTCCCGGCCTGAGTTTGGTCTTTTGGAAGCTGTAACTGTGTTGTCAGTGTTTAGAACCTGACTTCTGGGCTGGTACCTTGGACAGCACCCAGCTGCTCACAGATGAAGGGCTTGAAAACCTGCTTCTTCCATGGTAGAGAGCTGTTTTCTGTCTGAATGCTCACATGAGCAGGCAGGGAGCAAGGCATGGCCATTTGTTCTGTGCCACAAATTCAGAATGTAGACCAGTTCCCTCCGTCCTCATTAAACTAATTAGATGGATGGGTATCCCAGTTCTACCCCCATGGTGAACTGAGCTGAGTCAAGCTGATGAGGTTAAGCACAACCATGTTCTTGAGCATCTGAATTGGCTGCCAAGAATCCAAGCCATCTGGCCCTACATCTGCACTGGGCATTGGGTAAGGAATCCAGAAGCAACAGCAGAGAGAGGCAAAGGGCCTCTTCAGCCCCCAGGAGGATTCCTCTCAGAACAAAAATCACAAAGAAAAATGAAATGATCTTTCGAGGTCAGTGAATTCCCTTAATTCCTGTAACCTAGAATCAGGTGGAACTGCCCTGTTGGCCTAACCTTTGTTTTCCCCTGAGTTTCTCTGAGTGTGTGGCTCTCACTGTCTTTATCTGTCTTGTTCACTCATCCCCAGGCTTGAGTCCCAAGAGACAGGGTGGATGGGAGAGGAGGCCTTGGGTTTGGATGCTTTGTACGCTGGGGAATCCACTTCTTCTCCCACATTCCCAGGAGCTCTTCCAGGGGTTTGGGAAGGTGTAGACTGTTGTAGGGGTTACCTTGTGTGCTTTTGAAGCATCCCAGTTAAGCAATTTACTTGAAATTTGCTTAGTCCTCCATAGACCTGTGTGATTTCCTGCTCTTCCAGTACAATAAATAAAAGAAAGATGTTGATGTCTTGTCATGTGTGGAGGGCAAGTGGGGGTATGCAAACCTCAGTCCCAAGACAGCAGAAAGACCATTTGCAGAACAATGAGCTAGGAAATCACACACACGTACCCCTATTCATCATGTCTACATACACATACACATGTGAACACATACAGATGCACTTATTCAGGCTGGGAAAGGCAGCAGAGGATGCCAGAGTGACAGTCCTAACTCAGGAAATAGGATCTGTGTGACCTTGACCATTGACTTCTCTGATGTTCTCTCTTGGGTAGAAGGGCTAATTGTATCTCCACAGAGGGCAGCTGTGAATGTCAGGGTCATGTACATATAGCTCCTTGTACACAGCAGATGTTCCATGAGGGAGGGTTTCCTTTCCCATGTTGTTTAAGGCACAGTCACAAGCTCAAGTGCTCAGGAACTCAATGTGGGGGACGACAAGAAGGTACTGCAGAGGCAGTCAGCATCCCAGGGACTCCAAGGGGCAGGACAGGAGTCAGAGATGTCGTGGACAAATGAATGTGCTGGGGCTGGATACATAGTCATGACAGTGGTACCCTCCACGTGCTGACAGTATGTGCTTTGACGCATGCCCAGGAAACTCAGGCTGTAGATCACAAGGGCCATCTGGATGCCCTGGCTTTCTCAGTGACGTATAAAACACAAGGCTAGGGAGATTTCATGCATTTGATCATTCATTTGATACGGGAGTATCTGAAGGCCCGCTGTGTGTGGTAGACATTTTGCTCAGTGCTGCAAGTATGGGAAAATAGTGGACAAGATCCCTGCTCTCCTGGGACGCACAGTCTGCTGGGGAAGACAGAAATAAACAGGTGAGCAAACTGTACATCCAAACTTAGAACCCGTGGCCAATTGTGCTGAAGGAAACAGCTGGGGTGTGGGCACAAAGAAGGACAGGAGCAGTGGAGTAATGTCCCAAAGCAACTCACAAAATCCTTCTCTGTGGAAAATTCCGTTCTTGCTCCTCACAGCAGCATCAAAGAGAAAAGAGCCTGAGGCTTGGCTTCACCGTGACCAAGTGCTGGAAACCAATACATCGATAACAAACCTTAACCTGCTTGAATAGTTTTATTGACTTGGATTTTACAACATAATCCTCCTCCTTAATAATTCAGCATGGGAAAGTTCTTTCCTTTAAAAAAAATTTATTTATTTGAAAAGCAGAGTTATGGGATTTGAGAGGTGGAACTTCTATCCACTAATTCTCTCCCCAGATGCCCACTGTTAGGCCAAGCAAAAGCAATTCCCGAAGGAGCTGAGCACACCAGAGGACAAAAGAACTCTTCACAAGCCAGAATACCTGGTAACCTTGGAACATCAAGCAGCAGACTGAGTTGCAGTGCTATCTCTCCTTCCTGCCTGCCTCCAGCCACAAACAACAGAAGAGAGCTTCACTAGTCCCAATACTGTCTTTGCTGAGGTCAAGTAGAGACTCTCATCAAGAAATGTTTCAAATGTTGAGTCTGTGCACAACATTCAGACCCAGCATGATGACATATCGTGGTCACAAGCATGCGCAATTGAGGAGCTGTTGCCTTCCCCCATCCTCCACACCTAAAATGTATAAAAACCCAGTGCTATACACCCTGGGTGGCCATTCCCTCCCAGGGGTCACCCTGCCATGTGGAAGTGGTCCAAGGCTTCCAGCAGGGGACATTCCCTCAGACTCTCCTCTCTCCTTTCTCCTCATCCTTTGCTCTGCTCTTCTCTGTCTCTCTCTGCTCTCACTTTCTCCCTACCCACTCCTACATTCCCTATGGAAATAAAAACCTCTTGTGTGACTCACTTATTGTGTCTGGTATTTTTGGTTTGTGCAAAAATTTTTAAAAAGCCAACATCGACAACAGCTTGGGTTGGGCCAGGCCAAAGTAAGGAGCCAGTTCTACCCTGGTTTCCCATTGCATGGCAGGAGCAGCAGTTGAGCCATCCTCTGCTGCCCTCCCGGGAACATTAGCAGGAAGCTGGATCAGAAATAGGGCAATCAGGACCCAAAGTGGCACTCTGATATGGGATGTCACTATTACAGTCTGTGGCTTAGCCCACTGCACGATACCCACCCCAAAAATTCCATCATTTCCCAGGTTGAAATTCAGGTTTCTGTTATTTTTATGCATTGGACCCTGATCCTGCTGGGATCTAGGAGCTAGAGCTTCTAAAGGGATGAATTTCCCATTACATCACTGGCAAACAAATGGTTTCTGACTAATTCAAATGATTTACACAAATGATTTGGAAATGAAGAATCCAAGGCTATTCAGCTGCAGGTAGAATTTGACCAAGGGGATCAGGGAGGACCTCACTAGGTTCCTCCTTAAGCTGGGTTCTTTCTGAGTCTCCACACCCTTGAGAACTGCTCAGGGAGCTCCAGGAGCATCCTGCACAGTCAAGTCTGTCTGCTGCTTTCCAAGCCATCATAGCCTGGCTCTCGCCACACCTCATTGACTTGCATCATTTGTCCAACCCTGAGCTAACACTGGGCACCGTGGACAGATTCATAGGATGTTCTGATGGGTTGGGACCAAAGGTCACAGACATTACTGGAACCAAGGATGGAGTTGACCCCAGCCATAGCTGCGGGGAGGACAGGGAAGGTTCTTAAGAGGGAGACTGGAGCAGTAGAGCAGGAGGGAATTCCAGACCACCCAGCAGTACAGGCGGCTGGCATGGGACCAGCTGCACGGACAGCACAGCCAGGAGTGGGGGTGCGGGGAGCCAGAGCAGCTGCTTCTTCCGCTTCTTCTGCTCTCCTGGGAGGCTGCAGGCATCTGGATCTGCAGACACCATCCCAGTTTTTCAATGCAGTCCAGTAATTTTTTTTAAACCAGACATTGAGTAGAACAAAGCACTGCATGGTTAGTGTCAGACACATCACTAACCACTTTTGTGATTTCCTTCTGAAAATTCTCATTTTTAAAATAACCAGTTCTCTAAAAAAAAAAAAAAAATCTTTCACAGGCTGTAGCTGCCAGGATCCTGTTGTTCTGGTCTCCTTTCTGTGGACTTCACTACTCTTGACCAAGAGGACGTGTCCACGGAGCCAGTAGGGGACCCCTGAGCTCCCATCCTGGTGCCCAGAGTGATGCCAGGCAACCCACTCCCCTTAATGGGTCTCTGTTTCCTATAGAAACGCTGATGACCTTGCACTAGGAAGGGTCTACAACACACCTGACACCTGAGTAAGTCGGGGCTGCTAACAGTGGTGTTTCTAAGTTCACCTAAGGGAGACATACCACGTTCTACTGGTGCTAATAAGAGGGAACATCAACCACGTGATTAGCAAGTGTGGTGCTGGGGGGCATGGCGCTTACACACATGCACATGCCTGGGTGACCGCCGCTTCCCAGCCCCCTTCCTCCCACAGGGGTTAAAGGAGATCATTATCCAGAGCTATTTGGAGGGGGCGGAGAGCAAGCCAGAGAGAGAGATTGGAAACAAAAGCCTCATACGCACAGCAAAGGTGGCTGGTGCAGCAACTGCCGAGACGGCACTGCTTAGGAGA